CGGTTCGATCCCCCAGCACCACATGCCAGCCAGCCCCGCCCCCTGGTGGGCTGAGCTGGCCACACACACACACCACACACACTCACTCTGTCTGTCTCTGTCTCTCTCTCTCTCGCTCTCAAATAAATTAAAAAAAAAATTAAAAAAAATTAAAATGTATGTTCTAGTTCATTTAAATGACTTACTTGAATTTTTACTTCCACAAGTAAACTTGGGCTTTTTGATCACTTTTGATTAACTTGAAATATAGATTACATCAGGCTAGGCCTATTGAAATAGCAACATTGTGGGTTTTTTTTTTTTTAGTTTATTGGTGCATTTTATACAATGATCACATTTATTATAGGCAATTTATACCTGTACGTGATATGACTTTATTTTCCTCATTCCCTTCTCTTCAAGAAGCCTGATTCTTTTTATAAATAAAAAATTTTGTTTCCACTTTTTCCTTATTTTTCCCCCTTTTTTTCTTTCCCTGTCCCATTCCCACAGTGTTACATTTTTTAAGAGCAAAGGAAGGATCCAGGCATGGTATTACATGCTTGTAATCCCAGCAGTTGCAAGGCACGAATATCTTCGTGAGTCAGCCTGAGCTATATAAGGGAGTTCAAGGCCGGCCTGTACTACATAGTGAGACTGTGTCTCAGAAAGACAAAGGGCTGGCCAGATAGCTCAGATTAAAGTGCCTGCAGGCACAGGGGCCAGGGGTTTGATCCCCAAGCCTGCTGTGCTGGCCTTGCTCCTGGGCCCGCTAAGACTGGGCGTGGTGACACATGCGTGTAATCCCAGCTCTTGGGAGGCTTGTAAACAGGCAGATCATTATGAGTCTGATCTAGTAGTGAGACCCTGAACACCCTGTAGACCCTTCCCTAAAATACAGAAAAAAAAAGACAAAGCAAGACAAAGGAATTAATGGAAGGAATTCTAGTATCACATAGATGACAGCAGAAGAATATTGTGTATTTCTGTGACTGAGCAAGTAGTTTACATGAGTATGTATAGTTGAAATTAAGTTATTATAAGTTTCCAGTTTGTAATATGTAGTTTAATCTGAAAGTACCTTGCATTCTGTGTAAATTAAGTATTTCTGCATAGAATTTTTACTCTTAGGATTTGAAGTGATAGCTCACTGAAGGGTGGGTCGTCCAAAAAATTTAAATTCTGATTATTTTACATTTTTAAAATTTTAGAACAGTATTTTGGTCTTAATCCAGGACTAAGAATCATGTCTTTATTTTGTTAGGGTTCAAAATACTAGTCAGCTCATGGAATGGGTGAAGTTAACCATATTCTACAACTTAATGATGAATTTGGTGAATATTGTTAAAATAGCTGTTAACATGAAAATCTGAAATATTTTAATTGACAGTGTAAATGTATTTGACAATTATGTCTACAGCTTTCAAATTCTGCCTCCAGTACACCCGGAAGGCTGAGTTCCGTAAACTGTGTGACAATTTGAGAATGCACTTAACCCAAATTCAGCGCCACCATAACCAAAGCACAGCAATCAATCTCAATAATCCAGAGAGCCAGTCCATGCATTTGGAAACAAGGCTTGTGCAGTTGGATAGTGCCATCAGCATGGAACTGTGGCAGGTATGTTGTGAACTGTTTTTTTTTAGCTTTTTTTTTTTTTTTTTTAAATGGAATAAGGGTTTTATTTTTTTTTCTTCCTCGAATGCCTTCAGGGCACTTTTTGGCCAGCCCGAGAGTTGTGAGGTTCGAACTCCAGGAACCTGAGGCTGACAGCTTTTGTGGAAGCAGCCACTTAAAGGACTGAGCTAGGGCCAGGCCCCCCTGTTGTGAACTGTTAACTTCTGTTGTAAACCTGTTTTTAAGCTAGGCATGGTGGTGCATGCCTGTAAGCCTGCCACTAGGAGGCTTGAGGCAGAAGGATTGTCATGAGTTTGAGGCTGTGTAGTCTCACTATACAGTGAGACCCTGTCTCCAAAAACAACAACAAAAATCCTGTTTTTCTCTAGGACTAGCCTCATTTTAGTATGATTGCTTAGTTTCAATAGATAAGATTTAAGGAATTATTTGATACAATAGGAAGTCTCAGAAAATTTTGGTTCTATTTACCTTTTGAAAATTGGGTCAACTAATCTTTCAAATTTAGTTTTCTTTGCATTTAACACAATACATTATCAGTGCCACTCTTTTTTTAGAGGAACCGGTGATTGAACTCAGTTCCTTGAGCTTGCCTGGGAAGCCTTTATTGTACTGAGCCATCTCCCTGGTTCAATATCAGTGCCACTCTTTAAATTTCATGAGCAGTACTAGTTTGAATTTTTAAAGTCTTTAATAAAGCAGGAATTGGCAGAGGAATTTTTTTATTTGTTCTCAGATTTGAACCCAGAGTCTTGTGGGTACTAAGTGCATGCTCCCAGCTGTTTGTCCTCAGTCCTTTTTTTTGGCAGAACCGGGGATTGAATCTCAGTCCTTTTTTTTTTTTTTTAATTTTATTTATTTATTTGTGTGTGTCCAGCTCAGCCCACCAGGGGGGGGGGCGGGCTGGCGTGTGGTGCTGGGGGATTGAACCGCGGTCCCTGTGCTTTGCTAAGCTTTTTCTAAGTAGGTGCTTTAGACCACTGAGCCATCTCGCCAGTCCTCTCAGTCCTTTTTTAATTGGTGGAACCAGGGATTGAACTCAGGCCCTTACTCTTGCCAGGGAAGCAGTTATTTTACTGAGCCATCTCCCCGGCTCCTCAGTCCTTTTTTAAAAGCTGTACTTGGCATTGCATTTATGGGCTTTCTCCAGCTAAGTTGCATTCCTGTAGCTTTGGACTGAAAACATCCTCAGCCCTTGTTTTCATTTTTTTTTTTTTTTTTTTTTTTTGCAGAACTGGTGGTTGAACTCTGGCCCTTACGCTTGCCAGGGAAGCGCTTATTCCACTGAGCCATCTCCCAGGCCCCATAAGGATTTTTTTTTTTTTTTGCTCCTCGAATGCCTTCAGGGCATGGCTTGAGTGTTGTGAGGATCGAACTATAGCAACCTGAGGCTGACAGCTTTGTGGAAGCAGCCACTTAAAGGACTGAGCTAGGGCCAGGCCCCCTCATTTTTTTCCTTTAAATTTCAAGATGGTGGGGCTGGGGAGATGGCTCAGTACAATAAGCGCTTCTCTGGTAAGCACAAGGGCCTGAGTTCAATCCCTGGTTCTGCCCAAAAAAATAAAATAAATTTCAAGATGGTGTCTCAGGGGCCAGGGAGATGGCTCAGTGGAATAAGCGCTTCCTTGCCAAGCGCAAGGGCCTGAGTTCAATCCTTGGTTTGGGGGGGGGGGTGGTGTCTCAGCAAGTTGCTCATGGTGTGCTTGAATTTGGCGATTCTTGTGTCTTGAACCCTCAAAAGTTACAGGTTTTCAAATGCCGGTATACCTAGCTTACAGGGTTTCTTTTTCTTTTGTGGTATCGGGGATTGAACTCAGAGCCTTGCACTTGTCAGGCAAGTGCTTATTCTGAACTATCTCCCCAGCCTTGCTTTTTTTTTTTTTTGTGGAACCGGGGATGGAACTCAGGGCCTTGCGCTTGCCAAGAAAGCGCTTATTTCACTGAGCCATCTCCCCGGCCCTGTTTAATAGGGATTTGATCCTGATTCTGTCCCTGGTTTGGTCTTGCTGTGTAGTTCAGTCTGGCCTTGAACTCACTATGTTGCTCAGGCAGCCTTGAACTTTTGATCCTACTGCTTCAGCCTCCCAAATGTTGGTGTTACAGACATGTACCATCACACTCAGTTTGTCTGTTTAATTTGATAAAAGTTTGAGTATTTTGTATTAAGTATTTTGTTGCTGGTATATTAAAAATTAGAAGTACACATTTTCTTTTACTGTGGTTGGAAGAATGATGCTGTAGAATATTCCCCTTATCAGTGGTTTGGCTTAGATAGCATGCATAGTGAATGGCAAACTTAACCAAAATTGGTTCTGTGATGCTTATCTCTTAGCCTTTTTTCTCTTAGAATTTTGCAAAGACATTTTCACATGATTTTTTTTCTTGAGATGGGTCATAGGTCTTGCTCTGTAAATCATGTGGTCTTGAACTCGTTATGTGGCCCACACTGGCCTTGAACTCTTGGGAATCCAGCCTCCAGATTGCTAGGATTACTGGCATACACCACCACGCCTGGGTTCTCACATGATTTTGCAACCTTATAACCTGAGGGCTACTTACGTATTGGACCAAAAGTGTATAATTGAAGTTACAGAGAAATAACCTAAAATTTTCAGCCAAGTGGAAAAGTGATTTGATTTACCAGTCTTGCACTATAGTTTTTCCCTTTTTTTTAAAATTGGGATACCAATTTAAAGTGTTAACTGTAAAGGAAAAGTCATAAAATGTGCTTATATACAACAATGCATAAGCTAAAAAGGAATGTTCATCCATTGTCTCATAACTCAGGTCACTTTTATTCTGTTGTACATCTAGGTGTTTGTTGTTGTCTGAAGTAATGTGATAATTTATACAGATGTTTTGTTTTTAGTCTGCTGTAATTTTGTAATTAGGGGAATTTTCTCAAATACATAGGTATTGTGGGTAGATAAAAAGAACCATAAGTGAAGACTTTATTTTTTCACTATTTTTGTGTGTTCAGTATCATGGGATTCGTAGAGATATTTCTGTTTTTTGTTTTTAGAATGCAATAACTTACTTATACTATCTATTTTAGGAAGCATTCAAAGCTGTGGAAGATATTCATGGCCTATTTTCCCTGTCTAAAAAACCACCTAAGCCTCAGTTGATGGCAAATTACTATAACAAAGTCTCCACTGTATTTTGGAAATCGGGAAATGCTCTTTTTCATGCATCTACGCTGCATCGTCTTTACCATCTGTCTAGAGAAATGAGAAAGAATCTCACCCAGGATGAGATGCAAAGGTAGTAATGTTACAGTTGGATAGTGTTGAAAATATGAAACAAATGTCTAATACCAAGTGGCATGGCAGAATGGTCTCAGTCAGGCTGTCTCAATTACTGCTTGGTTGAACTTTGGACCTTTACAGTGAACAATATTGCCAGCCCTAAAGTTTGTATTTGGAGATGGTTTTAGTCACTAAATTGCCCAGGCTGGGTTTGAACTTAGAATCATCCTGGCTCAGTCTCTCAGAGCACCGAGAGTTTTAGGCATGTACCACTGTGTCTGACTTCGAGTGGGTAGTTTTTTGTTACTGCTCTGGGCATTCTGGGATGTTCCTTTTCCAGATAGCCACCAGTAGCAGCTCCCACCTTGTGATTACCAAGAATGTCTCCTGACATGTATTTTCTTGAACAATATTTTTTGTCTTAGATGGATATATATATATACATATACATGCATATGTATATACGTGTGTATATATATGTGTGTGTTATATATATTATATATATATTTTTTTTCCTGGCTCAGGATGCCTTAAGTGCAGGACTGGTGAGGCCTGAGGATCTGGGAATCCAACCACAGAATCCTGAGCGTGGCTGTTTTGCTTAAGCAGGCACTTAAACAACTGAGCTAATGGGCAAGCCCCCTATTTTTGATCTTAGAGCCATGCTTTTTGTACCAGGGATCAAACTCAGGACCTCATGCTTGCCAGGCAAGGGCTCTGCTGTAGAGCTATATTCCCGGATGTAGGAGCCATTTTTTGTCAGATAACCAACTCTACCAAAAATCCAGTTGAGGGCCCGGGAAATGGCTCGGTAGAATAAGCGCTTGCCTGGCAAGCACAAGGGCCTGAGTTCATAAACCTCATTTCCAAAAAAAAAAAAAAAAAAGTTAGTGTATTTAAATAAAAAAATAAAAAAAATAAAATTATAAAAAAAAAGCATCAGGGACCGCGGTTCAATCCCCCAGCACCACATGCCAGCCAGCCCCGCCCCCTGGTGGGCTGAGCTGGCCACACCACTCTCTCTCTCTCTCTCTCTCTCTCTCTCTCTCTCTCTAATAAAAAAAAATAAAATTACAAAAATCCAGTTGAGAAAATTTTGAGTATTAAGGGAAACAAATGTTAATGTATGATCCTTCTGTCTGTGCACAGGTAGAGTCTATTAAAATAGAAAAGATGGGGCCAGGGACATGGCTCAGTAGAATAAGTGCTTGCCTGGCAAGCACAAGGGCCTAAGTTCAATCCCTGGTTCCGCCAAAAAAAAGTAAAATAGAAAAAATAATTCCAAAAAAAAAAAAAAGATAATTTCATCAAGTCCTTTTTTCCAGATTATAAAATATTAGGTATAGAATGCAGCTGTTCCTTGATTTACAGTGGAATTATATTCCAGTATACCTGCCTTAAGTTGAAAATATATAAGTGAAAAATGCATGTACTATAACTGACCTACTGCATGTTACAACTTAGCATAGTATGCTGAGGGCTGTAGTGGCAAACCTATGGCATGCATTCTGCAGTCAACAGTTTGTACCATTGAAACCTCTAAAAATGTTGGCATCAGTGCTATAGTAGGATATCACTTGTTTACTGATTGCATGGCTCACTGGGAGCTGTTGGTCTCTGCCACAGCTTGTTTTTTTTTTTAAGTATTTTATGCAGGGTTTCACTATGCAGCTTGGACTTCTAATCCTTCTGTTCTCAGCCTCCTCAGCTCTGGGATTACAGGCATACAACCACCATGCTTGGACTCAGTTGCTAGCTCAGCCCAGGGATGACAATGCTGTGGCATGTGGTTCAAGGATTGAATCCTGGTCTCTGTGCTTGCCTAAGCAGGCACTTAGTTTGCTGAGCTATCTTGCCAGCCCTCAGTTTACCATTTTGAATTAGAACTTCTGCCACTAGCCTGGTGGGAAAGTATCAAAATCCAGAGTATGATTCCTATTAACTTTCTTTCTTTTTTTTTTTTTAAATTTTATTTATGTGTGTGTATGGCCAGCTCAGCCCACCAGGGGGCGGGTCTGACTGGCATGTGGTGCTGGGGGATTGAACCAAGGTCCCTGTGCTTTGCTAAGCTTGTTCTAAGTAGGTGCTTTAGACCACTGAGCCATCTCACCAGCCCCATTTTTTTTTTTTTTTAACCTATTAACTTTCATACCCTGGCAATTCCAAAACATTTAATATTGAACCATCAAAATCGCATATTCTTCTGTACTTGGGAGATAGTTTGTGTATGTGTGTATATACATGCATTTCAACATATGTAGATATTTATATATTTGTGAATATTAAAAAAGGTGTTGTAACCCAGCAGACCACTTTTACTTTTTAATTGTTTTTCTTCTTGGTGCTGGTGATTGAACTCAAGACCTTGCAGTTGCCAGGCAGGCACTTACACTGTTGAACAATGTCTGTGGAAGACCACTTTAAAAAAAAATACAGGGGAGATGGCTCAGTGGAATAAGTGCTTTCCTGGCAAGCGCAAGGGCCTGAGTTCAATCCCCGGTTCTGCAAATAAAATTAAATAAAAACATTTAAAAAAAAAATACATCTTGGGTTTCTTTGTTTTTGGTGTGAGCCTAAGATTTTAGTTTTTAATTTTTTTTCTATTTTGGGGAAGGGTGTACAAGGGTGTTCATTGTCTCACTATTAGATCAGACTTCTAGTAATCCACCTGTGTACAGCCTCTCCCAAGAACTGGGATTACAGGTGCGTGATACCTCGCCCAGTCTCACTTGCAGTCGCAGTGTGCATGGGGGCGGGGCTGGCACAGCAGGCCCCTGTGCTTGCTTGCAAGTGCTTTAATCCACTGAGCTATTTGGTGGGCCCTAGATTTTACATTTTTAGAGAAGTATTTCCACTGAGCTATATTCCTAGTTCCTCAGTTGCCTTTTTAAAATGCATTTCATTTGGATTTAGGGGAATGTTATTTGGCTTTTGGTAGAATTGTTTTTCATGTGTATCTTACCATTTTTTTTTCTCCTCCAATCAGATTTTATATACATAATGATCATATTCATGGAGAATTTGTGTCTTACTGTTTTGTAGCTGTACATGGAACTAAGTGAATTGTGCTAGTATTGTTTCTTTGAAACTTATTTTGGTGGAACCAGGGATTGAATTTAGGCCCTTGCACTTGCCAGGCAAGCACTTATTCTACTGAGCTGTCTCCCTGGCCCTCTTTGAAACTTGAGGGCAGCATCCATTGTGTTATTTATTATTATTACATGGTCCACATTAGTCTAAACTTTGTTTTCCTTTAAGCTATTTAATGAAATGTGATCAAGTATGTGGTAAATATTTAAAGTTTAGAAAATGGTTGGCATGGCGGTATATCCTGTAATCCCAGTCCTCAAGAGGTTGAGGCAGGAGGATCACAGTTAATTTGAAGCCAGCCTGGGCTACATACATAGTTCAGTGCCAGCCTGAAGTGCATAGCAAGAACCTATCTCAAAAACAAAAAATAAAGTTTAGAAAATGTATTACTGTAAAAGACACATTGCCATTAATCCCTTCAGAATAACTTCCATGCTTCAGATACACTTAGTTCATTGTTTTTGGCACTTTTTTTGTTTTGAGTTTTTGAGACAAGGTTTCATTTTATATTTCAGGCTGGCCTTGAACTCATGTATCCCAGGCTGGCTTCAAACTCCTCCTGTCTCAGCCTGCTGAGTGTTAAGATTACAGGCCTGGCTTTTTCTTTTTGCCACCTTCTCAGCTCTGGAAGGCTTCTTTGATGTGTTTAGATGTGATCAAAAACATGGTGAGTGCCACCTAATGGAAAGGCAAAACAGAAAGATAAAAAATTACGTGTCCTCATGTGTCTTACTCACTGGATCTGGCACCCCTGCAACTTTTGACTCTTCCTTAGGGTCAAAATGACCGACCACGAGGGCTAAATACACTGTGTGCTGGATCAGTTCAGGACACAGAAGCACAACTTAAGATGAATCCCTGAACTACTTCAGAAAGGAGCAAGAATGATGAAAAACTTACTCTTGAAGTGAGGGGGAGTGGTGTGATTTGAGGAGGATTCATGGCAGTACTTTTTTTTTTTTTTTTTTTTTAACGCCGAATGCCCTCAAGGCATGTCTGGTTTTTTTTTTTTTTTTTGGTGGAACCGGGGATTGAACTCAGGCCCTTGTGCTTGCTTGCCAGGCAAGCACTTATATTACTGTGTCATCTCCCTGGCCCCTTATTATACGTTTTTGAAATTTAAATTTTTTTTTTTTGGAACCAGGGATTGAACTTGGGTCTTAGCACTTGCCAAGGAAGTGCTTATTCCACTGAGCCATCTCCCTGGTCCTTAATCTTTTTGTTTTTAATATTGTTTATTAAAAAGCATCAAAAATTTCAACATTAACCAGATTTTGGTGTACAAAGTTTAGAAAAGAACAAGAGAAATTCCTGAGACTGGACGTGGTGGCGTACATCTGTAATCCCAGCTATTGGGAGGCTGTAAACAGGCGGAACACTACTAGTCCGATCTCCTAGTGAGACCCTGAACACCCTGTATACCCTTCCCTAAAATACACACACAAAAAAACTAAACAAAAAAATCATGAGAAATTCTTATATGAACTACAGTGGAAACATGAATAGCACTCTATGAAAAGTAATCTTTCAGTTATCACACCTGAAGCTGTCTGCACACATGATAGAAGCAAATTCCATACGGGTGCATTGCTTACATGGAAAGCATATGCGTATGTTGAGCTTTTCTAGCCTTTTTTAAAAAAGGAAAATAAAAAATTTCCAAAACATGGTAGGGTGACAGTGGTTAACACGTTGCATGTTGTTATCTTTTTTTTTTTTTTTTTTTTTTTGGTGGAACCGGGGATTGAACTCAGGCCCTTGCGCTTGCCAGGGAAGCCCTTATTCCACTGAGCCATCTCCCCGGCCCCTTACTTATTTTTCACATTTATTTATTTTGTGTGTGTGTGTGGCCAGCTCAGCCCTCCTGGGGGTGGGGCTGGCTGGCATGTGGTGCTGGGGGATCGAACCGCGGTCCCTGTGCTTTGCCAAGCTTGTTCTAAGTAGGTGCTTTAGACCACTGAGCCATCTCTCCAACCCCTGTTATCTTTATTTAGAGTATGAGATAACATTACAGAATTGTCCAAATATTTTTTTCAGTGAACTAACACATTAGTAGTATAATTATTTTAACTTTTGAGAGTGTGTGTGTGTGTATATATATATATATATATATATATATATTTTTCCCCCCTTTTCCCTCTAAACCAGTTTCTCTTGAGATTTCTCCCCACTTTACAGTATCTATTGTACTTTTTTTTTCTTTTGCGGAACCGGAGATTGAACTCAGGCCCTTGCGCTTGGCAGGGAAGCGCTTATTCTAATGAGCCATCTCCCTGGCCCCTCTATTGTACATTTTTGATCACCTTTACTCTTTCAGCTTTTTACACTAGGGAGACAATTCCAGATGTTTACCCATTTGCAGCTTGAAATTTAAATATTAGCCACATCTTACATCACGCTTTTTGTACTGTTCCTACAGTGAGTGCTCTTTGAGTATCAGGTTATTTACCCCATTACTTTTTTTGGTGTAACTTTCATAAAAATCTTTATTTTTAGAAAATTTGCTATTTTGCCTAAAGTCACTAAAGAAGCCAAAATACCATGCCTGACTCTAGATCCCTCTGTCTTTAGTGTTTCCTAGTGTTTGAATTTAACACATTCATAGGAGGGCTGTAATTGTTTTTTTAGAGACAGGGTTTCCTGTGCAGTTTAGGCTGGCGTTGAACTCATAGTAATCCTCCTGTCTCAGCCTCCCAAGTGCAGGGGTTATAGGTGTGCACCCATCAAAGGGTGTAATTGATGTTTTGGCTGCCAGTCAGCTCTGATGTGTTAATTGTCCTTGCTGTCCCTGCAGACATAACTGTCGCGATGGACTGCTCATACTGCTTCTCAGGACCTTTAATTATAACAAAAAAAGATTATCAGACCAGATTTCATCATATTACAGTCCCTTAAGGAAAATGTAAAAATAGTATAAAAAAATCCACTGCTGATACCCCTATCCCCCCAAAAAAGATGGTATAAAAATTACAATACAGCTAAGTTGTGGTATAGCAGTTGTAAATGCATAAGAATGACATGGTAAAATTTAGAGAATTGTTGATTGATTTACAAATATATATTTCTTTCTTTTTTTTTTTTTCTTTTTGGCGGAACCAGGGATTGAACTCAGATCCTTGTGTTTGCCAGTCAAGCGCTTATTCTACTGAGCCATCTCCCCGGCCCCCCTATATTTCTTTTAATGAAATAAATTTGTTGGTTTATAGTATTGGTGTGAATAGTATTAACTTTATATTTGGGCAGTAATTATCCAGATTCAAACAACTAACTAGATTTGGTTTATTTATAAACTATTAATTTTGTTAGTGAAAAGGCTGATAAAAGTGATGAAACCTTTTTTTCTGCTGGGTGGTTCAGGCTGTCTGATGATAGTTATTGTATACGTACCACCCATGGTTCAAGCTGGTAAGAATGTTAGCCTGGCATTCTTGTGTTTGAGAGAAATAAAGATTTAGATTTTGGCAATCTGCACCTCTGGTTATGATGATTGTGTTCATTTACAGTCCTTGAATTTCTTTCCTTGTTGCCAGTTACTAGCTTAGCTGTTAAAGCTGCCTTAGTAACTTTTCTTCTGCCATTTAATCACAGTCTTGTTTAAAAATGATAATATTGAGTCAGTGGAATTTTGAGTCTAAATTTAAGCACGGTCTAGTTTTCTTTTAACTAATCCCATGATGTAGTGATGGAATACAGTTACATGGTGTATATATTTTGTCACTGGCATGCCTTTGAACAGAACCGTCAGTGTTTTTCTGCTTTTTCTGTTTATCAAACGACATTTAAAAACATAATGGGTTTAACTTTGTTCACTGCAGAATGTCTACTAGAGTCCTTTTGGCTACTCTGTCCATTCCTATTACCCCCGAACGTACAGATATCGCTCGACTTCTGGATATGGATGGCATTATAGTTGAAAAACAGCGTCGCCTTGCAACACTGCTAGGTCTTCAAGCCCCACCAACGCGAATTGGCCTTATTAACGATATGGTTAGTAGAAGTTTGAGTATTTATAGCTTTGGGCACAAAACTTTGCGAAAGTTTAATAATTCATGATTGAATTCTGGGAATTCTGATTAATCACAGGAGATTCTGATGCATGCACAGAGCTGACCATAGTATAAATGAGCACTTTGTTCAATTGAGGCCGTTTCTCTCCTAGTGGGATCTAGGGTTAAATTGGTGAGAGCTTTGATATAGCACGATGTGGGCTCATACTGTTGGACATTCAGACTGAGGAAAAGTAACACTGGGCGAGAAGGACCATGGATTACAATAACTCCCTGACTTAAGAAAGACTGAGGGGCTGGTGAGATGGCTCAGTGGTCTAAAGCACCTACTTAGAACAAGCTTTGCAAAGCACAGGGACCGCGATTCAGTTCCGCAGCACCACATGCCAGCCAGCCCTGCCCCCTGGTGGGCTGAGCTGGCCACACACACACATAAATAAAAAAAAAATACAATAAAGTGCTACCATCATTAAAAAAAAAAGAAAAAGACTGAGTTCCATTCTGAGAGAATTATTCATAATTTGGATTCATTTGTGTCCAACAGAATGAATCTTACACAGTACACTCTTCCAATGTTCATAAGCCAGGGACTTAACTGTATTTCAGGGAGTTATAGGAAACTGATCAAGCAGATTTATATGTGCGATGATAAAGCCACAGAAGATAAGGTAGATTTAGACCCAAATCTGTACACTTCTGGTATTTCTAGCTTTTTTTTCTTTCAACGTTTGATTTTTTTGTTATTAGAGCAGTGACTCTTAATCAGGGTTATGCAGTGAAACTGCTCTATAAGTGCTACATGCTGCTGCCTCAGAAGATAGCCCAGTTTGTCCTCACCTGCAGAGCATGCTTCAGGAACAGATAAGAAATCAGGTGATGGCATGTCTTCAGGGCTTGTGAAGAATACTTGAGGTCATCAAAACAGCTCACTGGTGTATGTTACAGTCAGTCATCCTGTGGTGGTGGATTGATTTCAGGTCACTTGTGACGACTCAAATCCAGAGATGGGCAAATTCCTTAACTAAAATGGTGTTGAATTTTCATATAATCTATACATAATTTTCTATAAGTATTAAATAATATTTGCGTTCCTTATAATATCTGATAAAGTCCTGTGCAGATAGTTCGTTGCTAAGAGAAAGGTTAAAAATAATTGAGCACTAAATCATTTATGTTTAGTACAGATCGTATTTACCCTTCAAATATATTTTTTTTCTCTGTAGTTGATTTACTGTACATGTAAAAGTGGACAAAACAGTGTACTGATGATAGACACTTGAGTTTTTCTGTTTGGGCCTAATACAAATACTGATGCTGTGCTGTTTGTGTGATTATTTACATAAAAGTAAATGATTTCTAAGTCCTGACATTTTACATGTCATTGGTAATGAGACAGTCTGAGTTTACGATACTACCTAGTCTCTACAAACACATGACTATTGATTTTATTTCCTTTTAAAATTCTTGTGGGCTTTTTACTATAGAGATGCATAATGTGGGCCAAAAAACTCAATAGTTTGGGGTATGTTTTGATAAATGTAGAGTGAGGATAGGCAGTCTTATTGTCATTTTCCAGATTTCTAGTCCTGTATTTATATTTATAGTCTATTTTTAGTTTCTACTCACACTTGGGACATTTCCTTAAATGATTTTTCTCTCTCCTCTTTTCTCTTTTTTCTCTCCTATCCTCTATCCTGTCTCCTCTTCTCTCTTCTTGTAGGTCAGATTTAATGTGCTACAATATGTTGTTCCAGAAGTGAAAGACCTTTATAACTGGTTGGAAGTAGAATTTAATCCACTAAAACTCTGTGAGAGAGTCACAAAGGTAAGCTTTGTGTAAGTTTTGTCAGTGTCACTATGTAGATAGCATTACAATTCTGAATTGTGTCTGTCAACAGAAGTACTTCCCACATGGTTAAAACTGCACATTTCATTGTCTTTCTTTTTTTTCCTTTATATCAAGAGAAAAGATAGTTCTTTTTCTTTTTCTTTTTTCTTTTTTTTTGTGGAACCGGGGATTGAACTCAGGCCCTTGCGCTTGCCGGAAGCACTTATTCCACTGAGCCATCTCCCTGGCCCCTAGAAAAAATATTTCTAATGTGATAGACAACCTTTGAAGGTAAATTAGCAGCATGACTGATACAGCCATTGCTGTCAGTCACCTTCAGACAAAAAATTAATAGCTTTATGATAAAGTTTGAATTACTTTGCCTGTTTTTATATATTAAAAAAATTGAAAGAACTTCAGATGGCTTAGTATCCTTTTTCAATTTAATGGCTTTTATAGGTTCTAAATTGGGTTAGAGAACAACCTGAAAAGGAACCAGAGTTACAGCAGTATGTGCCACAACTGCAGAACAACACTATACTTCGCCTCCTGCAGCAGGTAAAGATACAAATAAATGTTTATGAAGGAATTAGACCATAAACCTTTATTTCTTGGTGTTTTGTTTTTTGTGGTATGGCTGGGAGTTAGACCCAGGACTTCCAGCACAATAGGCAGGTCACACTCTCAGGTCATTGGTTATATGTATGATCATAACATTAGAAGCTGAACAAATTTAGAATTGTAGCATGAGAAGTGGAATTGTTTGTACAATTTACACAATTAAATCTTCAGTTGTTGGCCATAGAAGACTTGATTAGTAGACTCCCACCAATAATGAGTAAGACTTTTTGTCTTCTAACACTAGGTATTGGTATCTTCTAATATTTTATTTCATTTTTAAGTTTAAATGTTGTGGTTTATAATGGCTTCAGTATTACAGTTGTTTTACTTGGGAGGAGGGTTTATTATGTTCATTTAAGTATGTGCACATTTCATTGACCTGCTTTCTTTTGTATATGTGAGCAGTGTTATTTCTTATGTGCTATACGAATAGTTGAAGGCTAATTAGCAGGATAACTATTAAGTAGTCATGCTGCCAGTCTCCTTCAGACAAAAACTTCACGAAGTGTTTAAAGATTAGATTATTAGCATATCTTTGTCTACGTATTCATGACCATTTATTTCAGTTTTGTTTTACAGAATAGTGACTTCAAGTTTGGTATAATGTGATGGATCATAGCATAGAATTTAGGATTGATAGTCTGTGGCTGTATTTTAGCTTCAGCAGTTCTTTTTAAGATACATTGTCTGAGCTTAAAAATTCTTTTGCTCAGGACCAATGAGATAGCTCAGGAGACTAAGCACCTGCTTAGACAAGCGCAGGGATCAGGGTTCAAGTCCAGGCGTGGTCCCAGTGCTGGGGAGGCTGAAAACAGAAGGATCACTACGAGTCCAAGCTGCATAGTGAGACCCTGTACCAAACACATAAATTTAAAAAAAAAAAAAATTCTTTTGCTTTGAACAGTGGGTAAGATTTTCCTACACTGTTAAGAGATTCATGTAAAAAGTACTGAATGAATGGCAACTATTTTTATTAACCCTGTTTTTTTTTTAACTTTTTTTGATTATTATTTATTTATTTGTGTGTGTGTGTGTGTGTGTGTGGCCAGCTCAGCCCACCAGGGGGCGGGGCTGGCTGGCATGTGGTGCTGGGGGATTGAACCACGGTCCATGTGTTTTGCTAAACTTGTTCTAAGTAGGTGCTTTAGACCACTGAGCCATCTCACCAGCCCTAACCCTGTGTTTTTTATGCAGGTGGCACAGATTTATCAGAGCATTGAGTTTTCGCGTTTGACTTCTCTGGTTCCTTTTGTTGATGCTTTCCAACTGGAACGGGCCATAGTAGATGCAGCCAGGCACTGTGACCTGCAGGTACGTACTATAAAGGGAAGGAAGGGATATGGAGGAGGGCAGAAAGCTTTTGAGAACTAGACAGACTGCTGCTTTTCTCTGATTTTGATATAGCGGCACATATTTAAAGTTCTGTTGAGTAATTCTTAAAGTTTAGACACAACATTCCGTTTTCTGCAATTCAGTTGAAATTTTTATTTTATTTATGCTTTTAAATTTTATGGTTTTGGTACAGGGTCTCCTACCCTGTATGGCTTAGATTTGTAATGATCCTCCTATTTTCAGCCTCCCCTGCGCTGGGATTATAGGCCTGCAACACTACACCTAGACTCATTGGCTAGCGCAGAGCAACTGGGGGTGGGACCAGTGGTACAGCACATCCTGGGGATTGAACTCCAGCCCATGTGCTTGCCCATGCTGGCACTTAGCTGTCTGAGCTATCTTGCCAGCTCATCAGTTGAAACTCTTTACATCAGGCCATTTGTAGACATGGGCATGGAGGCCCAGGCCTCTAGTCCCAGCACTCGGAAGTCTGAGGATGAGGATCTGGTAAGTTGAAGGCCAGCCAGGGCTACATAGTGAGTTTAAGGCCAGCTGGATTATGGAGAGAAGACCCTGTCTCAAAAAACAAAACAGCAACAAACCCTGCCCAAAACAAAACAATGTCATTTATAGAATGTCTTTATGTTTACATACTGTTTTAAATGTTTCTTACTGTGTTTTTAAAGGTCCGTATTGACCACACTTCTCGGACCTTGAGTTTTGGATCTGATTTGAATTATGCTACTCGAGAAGATGCCCCCATTGGTCCTCATCTGCAGAGCATGCCTTCGGAACAGATAAGAAATCAGCTGACAGCCATGTCTTCAGTGCTTGCAAAAGCACTTGAAGTTATCAAGCCAGCTCACGTATTGGTATGCATCTTTGAGGGGAATGCTTCACAGATGTTTTGAGGGACTTCTATACCAGGTCTTTGAACAGTTTGATCTGAGAGAAGGGAATTACTTATACTAGGTAGTCTTGTTATTTTATGAATGATCTTTAGTAGATATTCACATCATTGAACTTATTTTGTGACATAGTAAACAGCACATTCAGTGTACTAATAATGGGTAATTATAAAACAGCACCGCATACATCACAGCTCTCAGAATAATGAAGTACTATGATTTTTTTTCTTTTTTTTTTTTTTTGCGGAACCGGGGATCGAACTCAGGCCCTTGTGTTTGCCGGGGAAGCGCTTATTGTACTGAGCCATCTTCCCGGCCCCTCTTTCTTTTTTAAAATGTATTTTAGTGCAGGGTTTCACTACACAGATCAGACTTGTAATGATCCTTCCTGTTTTGCAGCCTCCCAAGTGCTGGGATTACAGGCTCATGCTACCACAGCCAGTCTCAATGACAGTCTCAGGGGCGTTGCGGCAGCCCAGGGATCAAACCCCTGGCCCCTGCATCTGTCTAAGCAGGCACTTTAATCTGCTGAGCTGTCTGGCCGGCCCTGTGTACTGTGGTTGAGCTTTTTTTCTTTTTTGTTTAAAATACTGTTTGTGAGTTTTATTAATATTTTTGTCTTAGGAGTGGGCTGGGGATGTAGCTTAGTGGCACTCGCTTTGGCCTGTTAAGCAAGAGACCCTGAGTTTGATTCTTGGTAACAACAACACACTTAGGATTGATTTGGTACAGAGATACTTGCTCAGCAAATAAAGGTTCTTTAGCTATGTCCTTGTTATTGAAAGACTGAATGGGAGTGGTGTTACAACATTTGGTACTATAAGGGAATAGCTTCAATGTTATAAAATGCAGATACATTGAAGGGTAGTGGATCAAAATTATTTTGTAATATCTTCATAATATCAGGACATACTACTTTCAGTTATTTTTAAAATGCATTTACTTTTGAAGCAAGAGAAAGAAGAACAGCATCAGTTGGCAGTTACCGCATATCTTAAAAACTCACGGAAAGAGCATCAGCGTATCCTGGCTCGCCGTCAGACAATTGAGGAAAGGAAAGAGCGACTTGAAAGTCTGAATATTCAGCGTGAGAAAGAAGAATTGGAGCAGAGGGAGGCTGAACTTCAGAAAGTACGGAAGGCTGAAGAAGAGCGGCTACGCCAGGAGGCAAAAGAGAGAGAGAAAGAGAGGATCTTACAGGAACATGAACAAATCAAAAAGAAAACTGTTCGTGAGCGTTTGGAGCAGATCAAGAAAACAGAGCTGGGTGCAAAAGCTTTCAAAGATATTGACATTGAGGTATGTAACATCACTCATAAGAGCTGAGTTTTATCCAAGTCTTTCTAGAACATAAAAGTCTTATTTTCAGTTGTTTAGTTATTTAACACATTTTGTTACGGCTGGCTTAATTATCTCAGTCTATGAACACTTTGTTTTAATTGCTGTATACCTTTTAACAACTGCTCTTACAGTGATAAGAGTTAGAGTTTGAGTAGATGTAGACTTTGGTGCACACCTGTAGTTCTAGCACTTGGGCAGCTGAGTCAGAAGGATTGCTTTTTTTATTTTTTGTATTTGGTACAGGTTCTCACTATGCAGCCTCGCCGGTGCGGGATTACAGGCATGTACTGCCATGCCCAGCCTGATGGCTTTAAGTTTGAGGCCAACCTGAATTACATAACAAAACAAGCCATTGTGTATTAGCTATATAGTCCCTAAATTGGCACTAAAAGGACCCCCCCCCCCCAAAAAAAAAAAAACCAAACAATTGTCAAACAGCAATTTAGGATTTGATTTTAGACTGCAATCAGCTCTGTGGGTTTTTATGTATGTTACTAAGAAGGATGTGTTTGTATTTACTGTTAGGACCTTGAAGAACTGGACCCAGATTTCATCATGGCTAAACAAGTTGAACAACTGGAGAAGGAAAAGAAGGAACTTCAAGAACGCTTGAAGAATCAAGAGAAGAAGGTAAATGAAAAGATCAATGAACTTAACATGTTGTAAGGATGAGTTAAAGAGATCTTTATAAAACTGTTTTCATGTTCAGATTGACTATTTTGAAAGAGCTAAACGTTTAGAAGAGATTCCTTTGATAAAGAGTGCTTATGAGGAACAGAGGATCAAGGATATGGATCTGTGGGAACAACAAGAAGAAGAAAGAGTAAGTTTTTTATTTAACTGTATTTTAGACTTGAAATGTAATTAAATCCCCTGCTATTAATGAAAACAGGGTTTTAGAGTTGATTGTTGAAAATGGTGTTTTAATGGTTCCTTACTAAGAGGTTGGTGGAACAGTAGAATTTTTGACAATGGAGATGAAATAAAACACAACTAGAGAGGTTATTTTATTTTAATTTTTAAAAAATTTTATTTATTTGTGTGTGTGTGTGTGTGTGGCCAGCTCAGCCCACCAGGGGGCTGGGCTGGCTGGCATATGGTGCCGGGGGATTGAACTGCGGTCCCTGTGCTTTGCTAAGCTTGTTCTAAGTAGGTGCTTTAGACCACTGAGCCATCTCACCAGCCCCTAGAGAGATTATTTTTAAAAAATATCTTTATACTTTGAATGAGTTCTATGGCATGGGTGTGTATAATTCAGCTTCTGCTTGCTTTTTTTTTTTCTTTTGGCAGAACCGGGGATTGAACTCGGGTCCTTGCGCTTGCCAGGCAAGCGCTTATACTACTGAGCCATCTCCCCTGCCCCTTCCTCTTGATTTAAAGAATTGCGTATCATCTTTATCTTAATTTTAGAACACCTCCAAAGACACTGTGCCTATGAGTCTACACTCCTTCCCACCACCTTAGCCTTTGGCAAACACTAATCTACTTTTTGTCTCTTAGAATTGCTGTTCTGGGTATTTCCTATAAATGAGTGGTTTTTGTGACTTAACTCATTTGGTAGTTTTGTTGCTCTATATAATATGTATCTTCTGATACAAAAGGGTGTGCAAAAGCTTAAAGTGGTCAGATATGTAGCAAAACACAGCGAACTTATTCTGGTTACTAAAATAACCATAGCAAGAGATAGCAAAAACCTGTGGGGTCCATGGGGTTCCACTCAGCCTTGTGGTTCCATATCATCTGATAGTTCCCATCAGGAGAGTGTTGCCCTTTCAGTTTTTTTTTTGTTTTTTTTTTTTTTTCCCTTTCAGTTTTTAATGGAAAGGTTGGAATTTATGTGGTGAGTCTCAATATATAATATAAAGCTAACTACAAGTAGAAAAGTGCTACAGATCAATTAATATAACTCCAGTAATTGGGGACCTTTTTTTTTGGACAGTCTCCAAAGTAGTTTAGGCTAGTCTTGAACTTGCAGCAATCCTGCCTCAGTCTAAGTGCTGGGACTTACAGGTATGCATCACCATGCCCAACCTTGTTCTTCTTTTAAATCTTGCCTCAGTTTCTGGCTGTTTTCAGAGAACATGCCTTTAAAAACTAAGTCATTTTGTTTATTACACATGGCACTTATTTCATACGGTATTTCTTTTCAGAAGAATTTCAGGTATGCTAGGACTAAAAACCTTTTATAGATGCCCCAGAACTATTTGTTACATGTGTCTTTTGTCCCTAATTGTCACCTTAGGAAACCTGTTGTATGACAACATGGAAGGTAGGAAAGAGTGGCTTCTAAGGTTTAAAGAACATCTGCTAGTGGGGCCGGGGAGATGGCTCAGTAGAATAGGACTTGCCTGGTGAGCACAAGGTCCTGAGTTCAATCCCCGATTCTGGTCCCCCCCCCAAAAAAAAAAAAGACTCAAACATCATCTAGTGGAACATAAACTGGTGTGATAAAATAATGGAATGCATCTGTGCATCATAAATTTGTAAAGAATATCTGCTAGTAATTTGGGGACAGTCAACAAGAAACGCTTCAACATTAACTGTATATTCTGTACCTACAGATTACCACCATGCAGCTAGAACGGGAAAAGGCTCTTGAACATAAAAATCGTATGTCACGAATGCTTGAGGACAGAGATTTATTTGTGATGCGACTCAAAGCTGCTCGGCAGTCTGTGTATGAGGTGAACTTGCTGGTTTTAGCGAAAGTTTGTCAACTTTTTAGTTTTCTTTTACATAGTCCGTCTTTCAACGTAATGGTGCATTCTGCCTAGATTACGTATTTAATGATTAGCCAGATTAATTTTAGGAGGAATACTTTGTAAGCAAAAATAGTCAACCAGTTGAGTAAATTTTTCTAAAGGTCACAGTTGCCCGGCTTAGTTTCTTATGGTACAAGCTTTAGTTTGCTGTTTAAATCAGAAATGGAAAAAAAAAACACCAAAAAACAAACTAGGCATAAGTATCTTTTAAATTTATTTTGTATAAAGATACTCCCCGAGTTTAGAAAATAGCAACAACATTAAAAGTCTTACCCTTGCCCTCAAGTACTGACTCCAAGAAGTGCCTGTGGTACATCTTTACCTCTTCTTTTGTTTTTATTTTGAGATAAGGTCTTGTTAGTTGTCTTGGTTGGCCACAGACTTACCATTCTCCTGCCCTAGTCACCTGAGTGGCGTATAGCATTTCACCCAGATCTGACAGTCTAAAGTTTTAAAAAATTGGCATATTCATTCATTTGGAAATTCTGATTTCTTTAGATGGAGCTTCCTTTCTATGTTTCCAAGATATTTGTGAGTCTTGAAACTTAAAGAAACATACTCATTGAATAATTTTTGTTTATGTATTTTTTGGTGACTTTTCACTTTTAGGAAAAACTTAAACAATTTGAAGAGCGATTATCAGAAGAAAGGCATAATCGCTTGGAGGAACGTAAGAGACAACGTAAAGAAGAACGCAGAGTAACATACTATAGAGAAAAAGAAGAGGAAGAGCAGAGGAGAGCCGAAGAACAAATGATTAAAGGTGACCAAAATGGTAGAAGGGTGGTCCATAGTAGTCTTAGTAAATATAAGAATCTGGTTAGTTGGCCTCTTAGCACTGCAGTTAACTGGGTTCTTTGGACTAGTTATATGTGAAGATACTGTATCCGGGAACTTACTTTTACATATATTTTAAAAATAGGTACAGGGGCCGGGGAGATGGCTCAGAGAAATAAGCACTTCCATGGCAAGCACAAGGGTCTGAGTTCAATCCCTGGTTCTGCAAAAAAAAAAGTACAAATTTTTTTTATCATTCTGTATATGTGTTAACATTTATTGAGGAATGGTAGACAGATAAAGGTTGTCAGGTGGTCTTATTTTTTATTTTAATGTATTTGGTATGGGTCTCACTACATAGCTTGGACTTGTAGTGACCCTTCTATTTTCAGCCTCCCCAGTGCTGGGATTATAGGCATGTGCTGCCACGTGCCGGCCCAGGGGTGGCTCTGTACCCAGGGGTGGGACCTGTGGGCATAGCATGTGGTGCCGGGGATCGAAAGCAGGTTCTTGCCCTTGCCCTTGCCTGACTAGGTACTTAGTCAAGACTGCTGAGCAATCTTGTTGACCCTCAAGTGGTCCTATATCCGGAGCCACAGCCGTGCAAGAATGGAGGGAGGGGTTCTAGTCCCCTAACTCGCTACAAAACTGTTGTTGAGCAGCATACTTGTTTTCTTAATATCTCGTACCATTTAGCTGATGCCAGATATTTTTATAGTTTTAAATTTACCTTTATTCTGGTTCTTGTTCAGTACCAGAAAAGTGGGCCTAGCACTAGGGCAAAGGTGCTGGTACAAGGCACATTTAGTGACTTAATACGTTTTCCAGAGCGAGAAGAGAGAGAACGTGCTGAACGAGCAAAACGTGAGGAAGAGCTTCGAGAGTATCAGGAGCGGGTCAAGAAACTAGAAGAAGTAGAAAGGAAAAAACGCCAAAGGGAGTTGGAAATTGAAGAAAGAGAGCGTCGTAGAGAGGAAGAGAGAAGACTTGGAGATGATCCACTTTCTAGGAAGGTGAGTGTAGAAGTAACTGCTTTGCTGTTACTTAGAGGAAGGCAGTGGGCAGTGCAGATCCCAGCCCACTCCTGCTTCTGACTCAGCCTTCTAGTTAGCCCTGTTCCTAGATGATTTGAGATAAAATTTATTTCTAATATGCATTGGAGTTGTATGTTCTGTTATCTTACAGATCTTGAGTTTCCTGTCCCAATTAATGATTTTTTACCCACATTATCACAGGACTTTACCTTTCTTTTTATCTCTATATTGCCTTACTGCAGATTTTGCTGTTGCTTCATCCTGGTCTGTGTTAGTCTCTACAGCCACAGCCACACACACACACACACACACACACACACACACACACACACACACACCC